TCCGAGTCCGCGTCAGACCTGCACGAGCTATGTCGTCCCGCCAAAACACACTCAAACGCCAAATCATACTTGTAACTGGTGCGACCGGGTGAGTGCACAGCATCCACTTCGGGTGTATTGCTCAATATGAGACATGGCTCTGGCAGAGATGTCGGGTTCGGAATATGTCACCGTCTCCTCTTCCAATTGTCCCAGCCCAACCCTCCAGATGCTGCACCCATTGCTATCTTCCGGTCCGCAGAAACACCTAGTGAACATGACGCCGCCTTTGGCTCGGCACCACCACCGACCACGATCATCATGGCATGTCGAAACCGTGCACGCGCCGAGACGGCGCGGACAAAACTGTACGCTCTTCTGAAAGCGCGTATTTCTACGCTGCAGAAAGCTCGCAGGAACATTATCACGCAGTGGAGTTCCAGCGAACATGGAGATTGCAATTCACGTGCTGGACTTGGCCAATATTCGGAGCGTGCTGCGTTTCGGGAAAGAAATTGCAAAAACGTACGTCTCTTCGCGTTGTCAGCTGCGCGCATTCCTCGTCTGAAAACAACGGCCAGTATCCATACGTCTCGCACATAATTGCAACGCAGGTTATGTGACGTACAGTCACATCGACCTCCGTATTTTTTCTCACAGTTCTTTGAGTCGCCTAAAGTCGCAGTGCTCGCCCCAGGTTCGACGTGCAGAACAAGGGGGTTCTTAGTGGAGACAACCTCGGTCTGGTCTGGCAAAGCAATCTGTTCGCCCATTACGTGCTCGTGAGTGCCCGGGGGATATAACATTTACTGGACCATCGCACTAATGGCAATTCTCATAGTTTCGGTGTCTGGAGCCACTCCTGGCAGCCTACGCGCAGTCCTCCGATCCCCACTCTCCCAATCATGCATCCGCGTGCTCTGGATGTCCTCTGTCGACTCGCGCCCGGCCTACGACCGCGAGACAGACTGGCAGCTGGTGGACACGCACTTCTCCTACCAGGCGTCCAAGTTCCAGATCGACCTCCTCGCGCTGGAGCTCGCGCAGCGTGCGCAGAAGACGCCGTCCGCGCGGGGCGAGATCCGCCACCTGCTTGTCACCCCGGGCATCGTGGCGACGAACATCGCAGCAGGGCTGATGGACCGGTGGGGCGTCGCCCTCTTCTTCTACTCGCTGCTGCTGCTTGTCGTGCGTCGGCCCCTACCTATGCACATGTAGCGCGCTGCTCACCCTTTCTCCCGTTTGCCTCGCCAGGCACGTCTGTGCGGCTTGCCGCACGTCTCCCACTCTGTGTACAGGGCGGCGGCGGCGGTCGTGCACCTTTCGCTTGCAGACCTTGCGTACATTCCGGGGGTCGCGACAGAGCGCACGCCGCCGACGATGCCGAAGATCACGACGGTGAACACGCGGTTGGGCAGGAGAGTGTTGCTGCACTGGAGATCACGCCGTGGGCGGAGCACCCGGATGAGGGCGCTCTGCTGCTGGAGCGCTGCGAAGGGCTGTATCAGACGTTCTTGGAGGCGGAGGCGGAGCCAGAAGAAGAAGCAGAGTCGTGGTGGCACGGCGGAGTCATGACGGATGTGAGCGCGGATTTTATTGGGTATCGAGGGTTCAGAATCCCTGTCCTGAATTGGTTCTGCGAGGTATATCCGCACAGCTCCCGGGCCTGTGTCTTGCCTAGAGTTTATCTTACAGTAACGTAATTTGCTGCGTGCGTATTTGAAAGACCCTAGCCTTCAGAGCTCGTAAGTCAGTGGTGCACCTTGCTGTAAGTACGAATTGCTCATTTCAAACAGCACAGCTTGAGGTGCCGTCTAATGCCGCGGGATCAACGTTGGCACGTGACTGCGCGAGGTTGAGCGCATGGTCGGGCAGTGATCGCAAGGTCAACGCGCACATGCAAGTGGAGGCGGTTGTGACGCCCCAGAACCCGATCGCGAGCCCAGAGGCCTGTTCGATGGACATCATGTCGCCGGCGTCGGAAGGGCCAGCACGGCACCTTTCTTTCTTCCCCCCTCCTCCCACCGAAACTTTCTGTGCCCACACCCACCCCCGGGCCCCTTCTCCCTCCCATCTCCCATCGACAACTGTCGAGGGAAACGCGCTGAGCGACCGCTCCGCCCACCGGTACACTCGTTTATCGACTAGCACGTTCTCTACAAGATGTTCCGCCATCTCATTGTCTTGGCCCTGTTCGCGCTTCCCGTCCTGTCCGCATCTGCCGACGACTGGCGGAGCCGGTCAATCTACCAGGTGTGTATCGTGGTTCAATCAACGCAGTGGCTTGGTTTCCTGTCTGCATTTCTCGTATCAAACTGCCGCTCGTTGTGAGGGTAATATGAACCTTGGCATCGTCGAGAATGTCTGATACATTTCGATGCTCGTTTGACCACATGAATGCGGTCGACTGTAGCGAACATGTCGTCGGATGTCCTTGCGGCGGGGTCGGGTTTTCAATACCCATGTCTGGGGACCTTGCGGGAAGCACTGCTGACACTGGCATGTTGATGCTTCTGAAATTTCGGAATAGAATCCCTGCAATCCCACAAGAGTCTCTCGGAAACACTGATCCTTCGTGATCCCGGAGCATTTCTGTGGATCTTCGCCAGAGTTTAAATGTTTCATTTATTCTGCACTTTTTTGCATCTACTTTCATGTCCTTTCGGAGGCAAATCACGAAAGAGGAATGTTCGAATTAGATATAAGTGCTTGTCAGGCTGCCTTGCGTGCGTTCAGACGCATATATGTTTAAAGTTGCCCTAAATTGACAGTGTGCCGCACGATGTCCTTCATGCTCGGCACGTTCGGAACTGTAACGATGCGTTCTGTTTGGACAGGGTGACTCACGTGCTTGTCGTTTGACGTCGTGCATAATCTTGCATCTGCTACGGCCCAGCATAACATACGATCATTATTTTACGTGCCTACCGCCAATTGAAGATCGCTTACCCTTCTCCAGCTCGTCACAGATAGATTTGCCACCTCTAATGACTCCGGTCCAGCCTGCGATACCTCTAACCGCGTATACTGCGGCGGAACATGGCAGGGCATTATCACCAAGCTCGACTACATACAAAATATGGGTTTCGACGCCATTTGGATCTCACCTGTCGTCGCCAACGTCCAGGGGACCACGGCATATGGCGAAGCTTTCCATGGGTATCTGCCATTTCGTGCTCACTATCCAGCAAGGTGACTCATGTAACACACAGGTATTGGACCCTGGATATCAATCAGTTGAACTCAAATTTCGGCACTCAAGACGACCTAAAAGCGTTGAGCTCCGCACTCCACTCCCGGAACATGTACCTGATGCTCGATGTTGTCGTGAACCACATGGCAGCAACGGTAAACCCGCCGAACTACTCGGGCTTCCAGCCGTTCTCATCCCAGACGGATTTCCACAACGAGTGCTTCATCTCGGACTATAACAACCAGACCAATGTCGAGCAGTGCTGGCTCGGCGATACGAGCGTGCCCCTTGCGGACATCAATACGGAGGACACTAACGTCGTGAATACCATGAACGCCTGGATCGCGGGCCTCGTCGGGAACTACTCCGTGGACGGCATCCGCATCGACACCGTGAAACACGTCCGCAAGGACTTCTGGCCCGCGTTTGCGAAGTCTTCCGGCGTGTTTACCATCGGGGAGGTCTACGACAGCAACACAGGCTATGTTGCCCCGTACACACGTGGGTCCCCAAATTTGATCCCTCCCTGCACGCTAACACCGCGCGTTCATGCAGAGGTGCTGAACAGCGTTCTTGACTACCCGACGTACTTCCCGCTCGTGAGCGCATTTCAAACGACGGGCGGGAATATGTCCGGACTCGCGGCCGCCGTGCAACAAGCACAGGCAACGTACAAGAACGGCGAGTTCATGACGGGCTCGTTCCTCGAGAACCATGACCAGCCGCGCTTCCAGTCGACCACCACAGACCAGGCGGTGAGTACCACAACCTATCTCTGTGACATTGCGCATATGCCTATCCACCTGCGTCCGCGTTGCAGCTAGTCAAGAACGCAATGACGTGGCCGTTCGTGCAGGACGGCGTCCCAATCTTGTACTATGGTGAGCATACCATGCTAGATGTCGGTTTTGCTCATGCCAACTCTCGTACGGCGTAGGTCAGGAACAGGGATACACCGGTGGAGCTGACCCTGCGAATCGTGAGGCGTGAGTAATCCTCGAAGGCGCATTGCATCGCTTGCTGATCGATATGCGAGCAGCTTGTGGCTCTCGGGATACGTGGAGGACAAGCCGCTCATCGCCCACGTCAAGGCGCTCAACGCTGCGCGGAAAGCAGCGGCTTCAGCAGCAGCAGCTTCTTGACTACCGCGGTCAGTCCCTTTCCGTGCGCCCTTCCATGCTCCCCCTGATGCACGCCTGCAGGTGAAGTTCCTTCCTACGACCGGCGACGAGTCCACGCTCGCAGTGTCGAAGCCGCCGATGCTCGCGCTCCTCACGAACGGCGGCGCGTCGTCCACGCCCACGTGGAACGTGGCCGGTGCGGGGTACTCTGCAAACGAGGCGCTCGTGGACGTCTTGTCGTGCACGAGCTTCAACGCGGACGGGAACGGCGGCGTGAGCGTCAAGGGCTCCGGGGGCATGCCGCAGGTGCTCCTGCCAAAGTCGGCGGCGGGCAGCGTGTGCAAGACCCTCCAGGCGCGTGCGTCTGATGCCGGCGCGTGCATGCTGGTGTGTCGGTCGGCGCGTGCCTCGTGTTTGCGCTCGTCTCGGTGGTCTCGGTGGGAGTGTTTAGGTATGCTTGATGCGCGGGCGCTCAGGACGCCTGGGACTGCACGTGTTGCATATTGTAGCACGGATGAGCAGCAGTGGGCACAGTGATAGTTGGATTGTTGTTGTTACTGATGGGTCACTCGTTTTGTGTATTGTGTCTGCATGAATAGTTGTGTAGGACACATTGAGCGACAGTTTTGTGTCCCGGTGCGATTCCCAAACGCGGCGCATGGGTGAGTCAAACAGGTGATATAAATTTTGTTTTCATTTATTTTCATGGCCGACTGGCGAAATGGCATCGCGTCTGACTACGATGTTGTGTAATCAGGAGATTGCAGGTTCGACCCCTGCGTCGGTCATTTTATTTGCGAGTCCTCCGCAAAACACGTCGTTTCGCTTGCGGAGTCCGAACATACTGATCATGAATCTCGATTCAAACGTTATACATCTTAGCGACTCACTGTCAAGTCTCCACACAAGCTGTTCTCACCGCGTGAAATTGCAAATTACGCATGGTGGGAATGTACTGAGAATATGCATGTTTCGCCGTTGTTTCACGCAAATATCACGTATGTTTCACAGAAGCTAGCATTTGATGGTAATAACTACATTTCTGGCATGTTTCGCACATGTTTCTCCGCAGATTACTAGCACATTACCTCGCTGCGTTATTTCCTCCTGGTTCTCGAATTGCTCAAATTGCTTATATAATGAACCATTTGCAATATTGTGCTCGTATTAGCCCAGCTACTGCAGCTGCCGTGGGTACTAAACAAGTACATGTAATACATAAAGCCTCAAGTCAACATGATAGTGTCCGAGCTGCATCCCCTCGCAGTTCGCTGATTTGAGACCTCGGCAATACAGTTGCCCGCGATTGAGCACCCGAGACGAAGAGGCATGGGTGAACGTACATTGTGGGTCAAATGGGAGGCTGGACTTGTTGCAGCTGTAGAAAGTCATCGTTGTCTGTGGACCCGGGGTTGCAGGCAGTGCGAGGACAGAGGCCTATAATAAACTAGATGTCCAGGTTCTGTGAGAACATCCAAGTCGGTGGCCCTGTAGAGCAGCACACGCACCATTGTTCGGGCCAGTCGAAGCGAAAAAATGTGCGGTGATGCACACGTCCTTCCTCATCACCTGGATCCTGCCATCAATCTTTAAAGATCAGTCATGTGCAGTTGGGCCGTAGTACTGCTGTGAGTCATGCGCGGAACGCCAGTGTTCCAGTAAAATGAGTTCGTGCTGGTGGCCACATTGAGGTTGTCTTGCATCCACTGCAGTGCACCTCATATATGCGGCCACGGGTCGGACTTGGACAAGATAGTAGATCATACTCATGCTGACAGTTCGCAAGGCCATGCTCCATGACCGTCGGATGTTGTCAGGGTCAGTGCCAGCTGGCTCGCCATCACATGTTGTAGCTGTCGGAGGACACAGAGGTTAATCTGGCTGTCACTATCAAGAGATCGCACGTCGGTGGGTCATGGGCTGATCATTGGGCGTCGGGGTGTCGGTGCTGTGTGTCGCGCTAGTGGCCGTACAGTACTTGATGGGTACTCGAGGTAGGGCGGCTGAGCTAAGTACAAGCCGCTGCCTACAGATCTAGACGGTCTTGCGTGGGGAACGACGTCATAGCACCACAAGAGCAACACGCAAGAAACTTCATAGAAACATACATATTGCTAAGACATTACAAGGAACGGACTATTTGAGTGGAATATGCCGGGAATCTCGCTGGAATGTGCAAATTGCCAGCTCATTACCGGCGTGCGTAATTTGTCATTTCACGCGGTGTAATGTCAGACATTGACGGACAAGGAAATACCACCGCGTGAAATGTCATATTACTCAAGCCGGTAATGAGCTGTTAATTTGCACATTCCAGCAAGATTCCCGGTGTATTCTATCCAAATAATCGGTTCCCTGCAATGTCTCGGTAATATGTATGTTTCTAAGCAGTTTCTCGTATGTTTCTCATGTGGCGCTATGACGTCGTTGCCCACATGTACAAGCCTGAGAAGTACTGTCCTTAGCACTGTGCACGTGGGCTTGGACACACTTAGCTCAGCTGCCCTCACCCTGCACTCATCTCCGTTACAGCCACTAGCACGAGGACAACAGGGCACAGCGCTGTCGCAGGAGGAAGGGGCTGGCTGAGGGATCGCGATCGGGTTGCGTCGGCGTCCAGGATGGAGTCGGGCGTGGAGACAGGAGTGAGAGCCGTATTGCGAGTGGACCCCCCCCAGCGATGCTGACGGATCGAACGGTCGTAGAAATCAGAGTGCCCGCAGGGCAGAATGTAGTATAGATGATGGGGGTGCGAGACACAGATCTTCCGAACTCCCCTTCCTCCCCATATACCAGCTCCCCCTCCCACCATGCACAACACCTCACCAAAAACATGAGCACAAGTACGTATGGAAGATGTCGGTATGGTCAACGCGCCGGACTTCCGCTCCGCGCTACAGGCGATTACTCGGGGATGAGGACGGCGCAGCCCGCCAATTTACGTACGCGTGGCCCCCGCCCTAGGCTCGCGGGCGGTACCGACGCACGCCCTCGTCGACCCTACGTCCTGCATGCGCTCGGCATGGTCATGACACGCCGCCCAGAAGGAGGGTACAAGAGAGAAGGAAAAGAAAAAGAAAACAAGAACATATCTGACTGCCCGAGACCTCGCCTGCCTTCCCAACCCATATCCGACATCCTTCCATCGCTCGCGCACGCGTCTTCGTGTCGAGAACGTTGCCTGCCGTGGAGGCAGAGGTATGGCGGATGAGGTGGTAGAAGTGATGAGAGGCCGGAACGGCCGATCCCGCGGATCCGACCAGCGTCCCGGCTGGCCCTACCACAGGTGGGGGTACCTCTAATGCTGTCCTCAGCATCGGATCCTAGGCCACCCCTCGCACCGGTGCGGAGGGGATTAGTAGAATAAAAGTAGAATAACGGAATATACCATGTCTGGATGCTTCACCACCAAGCCCGCACGCTCTCTTCCGCCTGCTCCAACTCGCCAATGTTTGTTCCCCGGATGGTTAACCTCTCGTCGTCAACTCCGCACAGACGAGTCGTTTCGCGTGAGATGTCTCCCATCGTCAAGCATCGCTCAGGCTGGCCGACCATGCAGAAAATCATGTTTGTAGACCGTTCCGGTGCCGTCTTGTCCGCTTTCGCTGGCTTGAGCAGGTCCCGTTGCTTCGGTAGGTCTAACATGGATTGTTGTTCATGCCTGAAAAAGAAAGGCTTTACTCGGTCAGCAGCAATTGTTCCTTTCATGCGAGCTCCATCCAACTCCCGCAACTCGTAAAACCGGTCTATCGTTGCATGCACAACGTAAGGTCCTGCCCATCTCAGCGCACCTTTGTTCCCATGCTGGTTATCCAACCATGTCTGATGTACTAATACCAATGTTCCCGGCGCCATCATTTCCGCCGACTTCCCACCATGCCTCCGTTCGTAGTCTTCGATGGCCTTCTTGCGGCTTTGATTGAGTCGGTTGAATGCCCCCGTGAAGTCCGAATCACGTTGAGTGATTTGTTTGAGACGAACCGCAAGTAGGTCACTGGTGTCTTTGATCGCGTACCAATCAAGAGCTGACCATGTACGATCGGCGAGGTCAAAACCGAAGACGGGGTTTTGACCGTAGAGTAAGTAGTACGGGGAATAGCCTGTGGTGCGTGTGGTGGTCGTTCGCATGGCGAGTAGTGCCCCGGGTAGATAGAGGGGCCAGTCTGCTGTCTGAGTGCCGCACGCCTTGAGAAGGGAGTTGACGAGTGTGGAATGCGAGCGCTCGGCGACACCATTGGCTTCTGGGTGATAAGGGGATACGAGGACACAGACGAGATTGTACTTAGCAAGTAGGAGTCGCACGGCACCCTTGAATTCAGGACCGTTGTCGCATACAAATACTGGGATGCACGAGAACCTGCAGATGATGTCAGTATAGATGAACTTAGCCCATGCTTTCGACGTGTTGTGCTTTGATGCGCAAGCCTCCGGCCAGCCAATTGCAGGCTCCGATGCCTGGAATAGGTAGCGTTTCCCTCCTGCTCCGCGTGGCATATACACTGTGTCGAGGTGGAATTTACGAAGCATAGCAACCGTCCATGAAGGATTGTAGGTCATAGTCGGGCGTGCCTTGGATCGGAATTGACAGGCATTACATGAGCGTACAAACTTGAGAACCTCGGCGTAGAGGTTGGGCCAGTAGTAGCGTTCCGCGAGCCGGGTGTAAGTAGCATCGCGACCGCGGTGTCCACACTGATTGTGAGCCTCTGCAATAATCGTTCGACGTCGAACATAATCAGTAACAACTAGTCTGGGCATCTTCCCCCGTTTTACGAGCCATAACCGCTCATCGGAAATCGTAAACCTTGAACAGCGAGCAACAAATCTTTTGCGCTCGTCCATGCTTTCGCACCAGTCAGGGAAGACACTATCCTTCAGATAGTGTTTGATCTCATCCCACTGTTCCTCTCGCTCCTCTTCCGGCACACCGAACTTGTGCCCCGCACCTGAGTAGAACTCCGTCGGAGGATCCGGATGGAGTATGCGGGACTGGACTGTCCCATCCTCCTGATCGAGCTCAGGCTCTGTGATGAAGGCGTACCTGTATTCCGTGATAATAAACTCCCTTTGCTCATCCCCTAATACACAGGTCACTGTGACTTCACGGGGTACTTTACGCCGCATGAAGTCGTTACCCACGAAGATGCCCGCGTCGGATCCAGCCAGGCTGACCAATGTCGCATATGAAACAGAATGTCCCAGCGGCGCAATATCCCTCGGAGAAGTAAGACCGCACTCGCCAGAAGAAGTGACGCCGAGGGAGGAGATAGATGTCGATAGGGAGAGGGAGATTGGATGTAAGAATCGAGTGTCGTGGATCTGAGCATGCATACGGATACGATATGCGTACAGTCGGAAATCTCTGACCAATTCCTGTGCTGCAAGCGTTCGGCTCAGGTAGTCGTCCACGTCGGACTCATCAGAGTCGTCCGGTGCAGGCGCTCGGCGTGACAGCGCGTCTGCGGCTTGATGCGAGGCTGCAGGAACATGATGTAGGTAGAAATCGAAGAGTTGAATATATGAGATCCAGCGTGTCATGGGGGCGTTCGGAAGGTCCGGGGAATGGATCATTTGCTTCAGGAACTTCGCATCTACGTCGAGACGGAAGTAGAGGCCCCAGACGCGATGCCGCAGATCTCGAAGAGCACGAAAAACTCCAAAAAGCTCGAGTTTGGGCTGTGAATACCGAGCGTGTGTTTCGTTGTTTGTGCAGATCCAAATAGGGCCGGATGCTTGTCTATCTCATGGATCTGGTAGAGACCCACCCGGTACCGTGAATGGATGAATC